ATAATAATAAGAACTCAGATAAACCGTATATTGCCGTATTCGTGTGTTTATTAGTCACGTTGAATTAATGAAAGCAGTTAAATCTTCTGTTTATTCAGCAACCGCTATAGGGATTTCCTTGGTTTCTTCTGCAAGGCGTATTTGGAGTTTCCACGCGAGAGCGCCCTCTGGCCTTCGGATGGAGATTTACTGCTGATCACAGAACCGTGCTTCACTGAAAGATACGCATGACAATCGCAGCTTCTGCCTAAGCGTGATTTATCGCCTTTGCAATTTAATTCCGATTAATTGTGCAGCCCTAGCACTAACAAACCCAGAGACACCTCTTTGCCTGTTGAGTTAGAGCAATAGAATGAACTGTTCATTTTAGCTCAATAGTTAGTGGGAGCTTATCTCTTAAAGAGATTACACAGAGATTTTCTATGTGCACATTTCTTAGTGCCAAAAAAGGTAATAAAGACAATTCAATATTTATAATGACTTAATTATTGTTATTTGTTAAGACTTGCATCTCGCTGATGCTGAACACACCCAGGCATGGCTGGTGAAGGTAGAAAGTAGGCTTCTGAGCACCCTTTCAACTACTTGACTGTAGTCTTTCATCATAGAGACAACAGATGGCCTAAGGGAAGCCAGGAGTGCCATAAGCCTGGTGACAATACCTCTGAGCAAAGCTCCTTAAATCAAGTTTGGCCTTCACGGTTGTTCGCTTTATGGAGTGTTGAGTGAAACCAGTTGGTAACTTGGAATCCTAATACTTGACTGTAGTCTTTCATCATAGAGACAACAGATGGCCTAAGGGAAGCCAGGAGTGCCATAAGCCTGTGACAATACCTCTAAGCAAAGCTCCTTAAATCAAGTTTGGCCTTCACTGTTGTTCGCTTTATGGAGTGTTGAGTGAAACCAGTTGGTAACTTGGAATCCTAATGTAAAGAAGTCGTAATTGTGCTTGACCATCACCATCAACCATCACCATCAGTCAGGTGGTACAGTACAGTTCCAGAGCTATAGGAACATAATCATAATTTGTTGCACCTATAAGGGGGTTATTCAGGGTGGTCTGTGTACATTATAGTGATTTGATGTCTTATAGATGGTCAGTGTATTGGTTCAAGGTGCTTCCTTAGACAGTTTTACCTTTGTGCATTCACTAAATATCATCTCAACACTGTTTAGATCAAAGCGAGTGCAAAAAAGGTAAGTTTAATTTGGTTAGTTAACAGGTGCCACTTGCTTTTAGATTTGGTTATTTTAATGAATTGCAACTAAATGTATGTTTGACTTAGCCTATGTGTCCAAAAGTGTCTAAACACTTTTTTTTAGGGCTGCTGTATATGTTCACATGGTGATGAGAATCACTTCTCTTTCAGCTAGAAGTGTAGAGGAAGTAGATCAAGGCAAGAATGAGTGGATTAATTTAGAAACAGCAGTTGCAAGCTGTCGGCCAGCTTGATCCTCAGTCCCTGCTGGTCTTCTAGCGTAGGCACAGAGATGATAAAAGTTGCTCAGGAAGCAGCTGAGATGGAGAGCAGAGGTGAAGGCAGAGAATTCAGTGTTTCTAGGTCATAAAGCCCAGGATAGACTAGATCAGCTGTTTAAAAATGTTTTGCATTGGAAAAATACCTTAACAGCATGGCAGACACAAGCTAAAACACATGATGAAACAGTTTTCTGTTTTTACAGCTGTGTTAAGGGATCTAACCTTATCCTGTCAAATGCCATTGACATCAGGTGCATATAGAATTACAGATAACTTCACATGAGCTGTCTAAAAGCTCATCTGCATGGATGGAGGAATGCAGGATGCCTAAGTCCTAACCAACCACTAGTTTTCCTGTATAATTTATGACGAGTACCTTTTTGCAGCATCAAGTTGTCATGCATTCTTCATTTATTTATTTTTTTGTTAGAAAGTAAATGATTAAAATGTGACTTTTGTGTTATAGAGGAAAATCAAAACTTGGACTATTATCAGCTAAAGAACATTATCAGCTTTCTCACATATGGAATAAATAAAGTCTCTTACATTTTTATAGGCACTGACACTTGCTGGTACTGCTGATAATACTACAGTTTATGGCTGAAATTTCCGACGCAGAAGTATAAATCAGCCTTTAATCCCTTGACCGACCCTTTCTCCGTTCACTGGAAGAAAAAAGATCTTCACAAAATCATACACATTTAAAATAGACAGGACTTTCGAGCAGCTTGTACTAGCAGCCTGTTCTTTGTAGCATTTGTCTTGGAGTCAAAGCGCACATATGGCGCTTTTCCACTGCATGGTACGGCTCGGTACGGTTCACATGCCGAACCGTGCCGTGCCGTACCGAGCCAAGTCGAGTCGTACCACACAGTGGAAAAGCGCCAATAGTGAATGATAACAGACAGCACAGCTGAGGATGTGGGTGGGGGGGAGGGAGAGAGAGAGCATTAAAAAGAACAAAGGCAGCCTTGCTTTTAGCAATACATCTTTATTTATTGATGTCGCTGCCTAAATATTCAGTTGTTTGGGACTGCTTGTAGTGTGGAGTGAGATGACAGGTTATTAATGTTGCTTAACAGACTGTGTCAAGAAATGTGAAGTTGCCAAGCTAATGCATGTACTGAAGAAAGTTTATAGAAAGAATAACAACATCCAGTAAGCGGTAAAACTGTTTGCACTACAACCCAGTGTGTTTATAATTAAGATAATACATTAGAATAATATGGTGAGGCACAGCAGTTTGCAATATCACACAACTTGAAAATGATTAAAGTAAGCATGGAAGAAATTTTTTTTTTTTTTATTGCATGTTTTTGATCTTATTGTGAGCTATTTGTCTGTTTCATATTTTCGTTTATTTGACCTTGTAATTTTTCAATCAAAATTGGTGATTTTCCAGTGAAACTACTTTCTCTCTGGTAACGTATGCCCAAGTTTTCATATCATTTATTCCACTTAAACCCCACCTTTTTCTTACAGTCATGCACAGTGTTTGTCAGCGATGTTTCATCTGGCTTTAAACTAGTTTAAATCACCGAGTCATTTGGGTTTGTCACTGAATTCAAGCGCTTCTCACTGGATCTCACAGCGCTGTTTAGTGTCATGTGACTGAGACTCATTCAGCGAGTAAACGCATCTGCTCTAGTGAGCTCGCGCTGCGCTAACTTTGAGCCGAGCAGATAAATGCTCCGTGTGGCGCGATTCAAATGAGCAGCACTGTTTCATTCTGCTTTTGGTTCATAACATTATATCGAATTCTTGTTATCGTTTCATATATAAGGAAAATTATCGTTTTATCGCCCAGCCCTAATTAAAGGGATGACACGTTTCTCATTCTAGAAAACATTTTATTAGATTTATCTCCAAAAGATGGTACAAAAGCACTTTTGAATAGGGCTGGGTGTCGTTCAAAATTTTTCGATATCGATACCGATACCGATACCTTGACTTCGATACCGGTTCCTGAACGATACTTTTTTGGATGCTGCTAGTCTGTTTTGTCAGCGTGTTTGCATGGTGCAATACAGACTGACAAGGCCGTCCTGTCGTCAGGCCAGGCAGGAAACACAAGCTG